AGGTTGCACAGTCGACCGATCTTTGCCTCAAGAGGAAAATAAAAGAAAACAAAAATACTATTCGGTACATAGAGTTTAATATCTCATCACCTATCGTCCATGTTATTCTAACCAGTATATGTTATTAACGTAAACATATTTACTGAGTGACCTCACCAGCCAGATTTGTTTTGACAAATAACTACCTCTATTATACACAATAAAGCTAGATTGTAAACTAAGGCGGTACTATTTTTTTAAACATCCGATGTACTTTCAACTAGACAATCGGTTTGAGGCTCCATCGGCTATAAATATTTAAATACTAGTACAGTAAGATACATCTGATGTGGCTCACTGATGTACCTCTTAACTTAAATTTCGAAGCTCAGCTAATTTGAGCCAATCCAAATGATTTAAGTATCACGCCAGTAGTAGTCAGGCATATTCATATAAACTTGACTACCGCTGAGTGCGAGTGAAACGGACTCTTAAAGCGTTGTATTTAACAACTTATAATAAATGAAATAAGACTCACTATGGGTTTTTATCAAACATTCAGTCATCATTGGAATTGGTAAGTCTGTCCTATGTAAACGAAGATTCGCCATATTGGTTGAAACTTCTCGTTTCTATCAGTCAAGGAGGTTGATAATAAAGTGGTTAGCGTGTTGAAACTGTGATTGTTTATTTTATTTTTAGAACTCCCTAAAGAAGTTACAGTAATATAACAAAAATCCACAAATAAAATCCAGGTCTATAGCGTTATCTCATTAAAAAAATACAAGTAATAGAAATACAATTATACTTCTTATAGCGCATGATGGCTTGGACAATTACTGCTAAAAACATAGAGTGAAGAATGCTCAACTGCAAGATCATTGTATAGTCGACACATACATACTTGCAATGGATTGTGGAAGTTAATAACTCTATTAATTACGACGGGTAGTCAGAAAATGGTTGATTTTAATATATCCGTGCCTGGTGAATGCGGCTAGGCACGAAGAAGCTCAAGAAACGGATTCTTCATTCGAGCCGTTTAATCGTGGCAGACATCATGCACTTTAGAGAGTTCATTTAATACATAAACCTATTAATATCTCTACCACATGCCTTCCTGTGTCAAGGAATCAAATAGAGTGGATGGGTCATGATCCGTCACGCAAGCTCACTGTGGAATGATAGGTGTTAACATCTGCAGGTACAAATGGAAACAATGGCTTGACGTGTCTTTAAAAGCATGAAGGGGTACGCGGTTTTAAATCTTTGGTTACCCATCCTTTGCAAAATTGCATAACTTCCTCACGATAGACCAAACGCCCAATCACTGCACCATCTATTGCCTTTATATATTCTTTAAATATAAGTAATTAATTGCAGCTCATTTGCTAATTACATTAATTCAGTCATACGCTGCAGCGATAATTGCACCAAGTACAAGTTTATTTGTATAAAAATCACGTAACGTCAATACACAAACGTGACCGCCACATTCTTTATAATAAACAAAACCTGCGCCGTGACATGTAACATAATAATCGCTATATTGCTGTGTTAGCGGAAGGATATTAAAACAAATAGTTGTTTATTCATTGCTATACAGTTTAAAGCGGCATTTAAAAAATAAAATAAAAAAGTTATTAATTTTTGATCACCCATCCTATGACAGGCCCTGACGAAAGCTCCTTAGCTTTCCCATCGCAGACCGAATGCACCAACTTATATTTTCGAATTATAAAAAAAAACACTTTCGTAGAAACATAGTCCTTCAGTAGTCCAATTCTGTTAATCATCATCGTCATCAGCCCTTTTACGTTCTCAATGCAGGGGCTCAGGCCTTCCTTATGGATGGTTAAGGAGAATGGGCCATAACCCTCCACGCTGGCCCAATGCGGATTGGAGGGTGTTAATGACTGCAAATGCCGGGTCCAACGGCTTAACGTGCCTTCCGAAGCACGGAGTAGCTCGAGATAATTTTTTTTGGTCACCCATCTCGTGACCGACCCTTGCGAAAGTTGCTTAACGACAACGATCGCGGGCCGCGGCGCTTATCCACTACGCCACCGAGCTACTCCATCTGTTAATGTTTATTTAATAATCGCATCTCAATAGAATCTCGAAGACTTGCGTTTTGCCATATTATTAAATCAAACCAAAATTATTTATTCAGTCTAGGCTGTTACAAACACTTGTGAAAGTCGAGTACTACGCAGTCGATTCGTAAATCTACGGCGGGAGAGCTTGTACCGAGAAGAACCGGCAAGAAACTCGGCAAGGGCTGCTTTTTTCTGCCTGTTTTATTACATACAGAGCGTCAAGATTGAAAAATGACTTCATTAAAATATGAAGTCATATTCCATTACAATATTAACAATTATGTATCTGTTACCATTGATGTATGAGGTAGACATAACATTAATAATATGGGTTTTAGGTAGAAAGTACAATAGTAAAATGCAAATCGTTGCTATTCTATTAAGATGCTCATTATCATGTAAACATTATCAGAATTGACCTGCTGGCTGGATGGTATTGTTTGTAATTCTATTAAACACACTTGTTACACACAAGGGAACGCGATTTGAGTCAGCGTTGTATAATGTTTAGTTATCGGGTGGCATGTTTTGTTTTTTTACGAAAAACACGAGGCGTTTGTGACCGAGAAACATAACAATATTGTGTTGTTAATTCGTCAAGCAACGCTGGGGAAACAAAAATATAATACAAACGCGATATGGGTAGAACCCGGTAATGTAGTATAGAAGAATAGACTAATCACCCCAGAGCTTTATTTTTGAACCATTCGTCTTATGTCGACCGCTCGCTTACTAACGTGTACTTGAAAGACGACTAAAATATATCTCCATTACAGCTCTGCACCAACTGATGAGTAAAGATTGACGAATCTATATAAAACTATTTCAATTGACAATTGACGAACGATCGAAATGAGTTATAAAATATATATGCAACTGCAACTTTCTAAATAGCATTTCCGTTTTATGCTAATATTCTACCTAAATTCTATGCATGAGAGACACAAAGCTCGAATTTCGAACTAAAGCAAAAGCAAAAGTTTTGGGTCAGTTCTAAAAACCTTAGTATCTAATAAAAGAGAATTTATATGCAGTAAACTGTAACCCATTTCATTAATGATTTTCACTATTATTAAAAATAATAAATCTACATACTTTGAGAGCACTCGAAGCTTTTTTGTGAAAATTAAGGAAAATAAAATCATGTGACTAAAAAGTCGATTAGGACTAAAGTTGTTGACGGTCATATAATTTGATCTAGATCGAGTGGTTCAAAAATAGGGTTCCAAATGTAAACATGCAGTAAGTTTACATACACCGTGATTGTTTCATACATCTTCAATATTCACAGATACACTTGGGCCAATAAACACAAAACTTTAACGAATTAATAACTCTAAAGCTTTATCATAAAATTTCCTTCCTGTTAATGCATTTGTCTAGACATACCATTTTTCAATATTTTTTATTCAGTCCATTTTACAGTACATTTACACTAGTCGGTCGCGTCAACACGCCACCTCTGCGCACACATCTAATTGGTCAATAAAACAATGACCGACTAATGAAAACGAGAGAAATGATCACCTGATTCTTATTTTTCTTACATAAAGGGGTGAGTGTGGTTAAAAACCGGTAAAAAGCTTACGTAAGAAAAAGACGATGCCTATCTGAAGTCTTTCATTGGTTTACAATTAATTATCTCTTTTAATTTGATAATAAGTTTATGTAAAATATCGTTACTATAATGATTTGATAAGTTTCTTACGATCATTCTTCTTATCAGCTTAAAGACGTCACGAATGGTAGGTATAAAATGTCGGACGACTAAAAAGCGATTTCAATAAGGTTATCTGGGCCTCGGTTCTACTAATGTTACTTAATAATAGTACTTCAATGACGTTTCAATTAATAGCATTTGTCTCTGCATCATCTACCTGGCGCTAAATATTATCAGTAGGTACAAAGCTTCTTGAAAATATTTCGAAATCGATATAAAAAATAAACATAGGAAAAACATCATAGAAAATCCTCCTTCTCCCTTTTAATCAATGCAAAATATGCAATCTTTTGTTTTTCGCTGACGTAGGCATGATATCACAATATTTAAGTGATATTTGTTGAAAAGCATATTTTGTTTTCCTATAGTAAGAAAACTACTGGTTCGATTATGATAAAATTTAAATAGGACCGCCTTCGGCCGGTCAACAATTTTATTTATTAAATCTGTCTGCAATTGGCGAAAAATCGGTAAACATATGTATTTACTTTTTTATATGTATGCAACATATAATATACGTCGCCAGCGAACATATAACCTCATCCTTTTCGATTTGGAAGTCGGTTAAAAAGCAGTGGGCCTTATTAGACGATCGCACTTATTTTAATTTTTGTTTAGTATACCTTAAGTATTGCCGCACCTCAGTCCGTTAGTTTACACAACACCCACGTATTGGCAATGTAAACCAAATAATATAAACAAACTATTGATTACGTCATACTCTTGTTTGTTATTGGTCATTGCTATTAGTTTCGTGTGACCATTTATTCTGAAAAACCTGGACATTTTGACTTAAAAATATTTTTATTATATGTAGATTGATTTATTAATCGTAATTGTAACGAAAATCTTCAAATAGGCTAGTGCCACCTAATGAAACCCTCTGTGAAAGTTTAGAGTGCTAAAAAATCAACTCTAACTTTTTACATAATGTTTCATATGCTTTCTGTTAAAATAATATGTATAGTGTAATATGTATATGCGTAATATACTATGTATATAATAAATCTTCTCATTCAAAAAAAAAATATGATTTATCCACGTTGTCACTCGAATATTGATTTCTAATAGTATAATGAATAGATTTTATGGTTACTATTTTGGAATAATTCACCAATATGTTAGTGAACCATACATGCCTGGATATCGATGCTGAGTAAGGCACTTCTTACGAGTATTTTAATATTTTTATTCTGTTGCAGGGTCCTGAGCCAGCCTTGAACTCCAACCCAGGTGGTGCAGCGAAACCACCGCTACTCAACGCATTCGAGCTGGACCGCTGTCTGGACCGGTACGTATACATCATCATCATGGTGGCCTTTTGGTGTTCCAGTCTTGGATCTAGGCCTTTTTCCTTCTCTTTCACTTCTGGCGGTCTTGTACACGACTTATCCAGTATCAACCTTAGTGTCGATACCATCCAGTCAGTACTGCGGTGCTTCTACGCCCTCTGGTATCCGCTCTTGGTCTCATCTTGTCCAACGACTCTCGTGCATTCCCACAACAGGTCCCGCCCATGTCCTTTTTATTTGGTTAGTACGTAAAGGTACTTCGTTGTAATTCCTAATGAATGAATCATTTATTGTACACAATTAACAGTAAATTACACTACACAGACGTAGGTTTTCCAGCGTGGTGTGTCCAAAAGACTAGCTGCCTAGCTTGATTCTTTTTCTTAATAGTTTCTTGTTCTTTTTACAGTGTTAGACAACTTTCATTATGTATTGACGTATGGGAGTCACCTTAATTATGTTATTTAGTTTAATTATCCTATCATGTCTAAAAAGTTCAACTCACTAACTATCACTGTTCACGACATATGGTCTGAATGGTGGCAGACAAACCAGATGGACAGAAGAGTCTTAGTAATAGAGTTCCGTTTTACCTGATCACTATTTAGTATATACAAGTGAAAGAGTTTCAAAAACTAAATTAAGTCATATCCATGGATGATGATGGTGACGTTAATAATAGGCTAGGGAAAAGTTTTTTCTTCTTTAATGTTAAAATTCAATTTTTTTTAATAAAGTACATTTATATTTATTTAAAATATATAGGTACAATTTTGTTCCATAACTTTTTGTCATCTAAGTAGAGACATGATCTCATTACTTTAGAAATTTTGGGGCTCCTGATCAAAAAACCGCGACAAGTGGTTTTGGCAGTCCTCGCGTCATGATAACCTGACCAAAAAATTCTGAATAGACCGACACAGGTGGAAATCTTAAAGTACATAAACTATACGGCAGATACATTAACACCTCCCAGCCAAAGTGGCTGAGTGGCAAAAGATATGTGATGTCTAGCGTTATTAAGGTGAAAAAACATACAAATTCTATTGATTGATCCTAACCACTTTCTTTCAACTTCTTGCTTTAATCTCATCAGTTCTTCGCAGTAGAGTTCAGAAGAGACGGTTCTGCTTGGCGGTAAGAGAATAATGAATAATAACCTTCCAATCTCAACACATACACAGCATCACCTTGTTGCAAGTTAGCCCGGGTTTCACCACAGTCTGTGAAGCCTGACCGACCGTTATCGCACTTTCTTATCGTACTTGATCCACTTTTCATCACCAGTTATCGGCTTCTTCAAAAATAGTTCAGTTTCATTACACAGTAATAAAGAATCACAAATTAGTACACGGTTCATAAGGTTTCTTTCAGTGAGCTCGTGAGATAACTTTTTGAGTACCCAGCGTTTTTCAAATGCACCAAAAATGTTTTGTGTCCTAGTTTTTCAGTTAGGTCGTAATTACAGATATGCCGGTCTAGCTCCACTTTTTCAAAAATAGCCTACATTTTATCCATAACAGCTTGAGGGTAACTTTGACATCAAAATTTCCTAATTGAAAACGCTTAAGCCAAATTTGTGCTACACTCACAGGAACTGCACTAGGTCCATAACAGTTACAATTTTCTTTTCCTGGCTTGCGTTGCATTTTTTCTTTTTTTGTAATAAAATTTTAAAATGTATCGTTTTTCTTCATTATATTAATTCATTTAGAATTTTTGACAGTAAGAAAAATAAAACAAAATTTCTTAATTTGAATTCAGGGGATATCTTTTTTAAAATTTAGACTTTTTAATACGTTCACTGAAACCAGCCAGATATAAATGGTATTGCCAATAAGATTTTATTACAAGTTTATGGATACTATGTGCTAAAAGACTTTTTCCCCAACCTATACTAACTATTTGAAAATAAAATATAACTTATTGAAAATAAAATACGTACATTATATAAATTAAAATTATTTTTATAGAGAATTAACGAATTCACAACAATAATAACCTTAAAATACTTGAAAAAACGTAAAAACTGGAAATTTATTTAAATATGATTCTTTCCGATGTTTAAATTGTAAATTAATGGAAACGTGCTCACCCTATGTATGTAATAAAAAAAATAAAAAAAACGATTCGCCAATCTTGTTATGCCTGCTGTTATGAAGAACATAATATAAAGCTTTTGGTATTGTACTAATACCCTGATGTCAGATCATCAGGGGTCCTTTATTCAATATCATCATCAGCTAATTAACACCCCCACTGCTTAGATGGTAAATAAAATCAAATAGGAAGAATGGACCATAATACGCCACACGGGCCCAGTGATATTGGTAGGTGTCAACCACTGTAGATATATCAGGGACCAATGGTTTAAGGTGACTTCCGAGGAACGGAAGAGCTCGAGATAATATTTTTTGGACACCCATCCCATGACATCCCTTGCGAAAGTTGCTTATCTTCTGCATCGCAGGCCGAAAGCAAGCCTCTTATTAATTTATTACTTATTTTACAGTGAGGATTCCGGCAGGTGGGGCGGCGAAGCGGCGCGGCGGCGCCGGCGCAGCTCGCCCCCGCGCCGCGCCTCACCACCCCGTGATCATGAACCCCTCTCACTCGCACGGGTATATTAAAAAAAAAATACTTGAAAAGTAACCTCTAAAAGATAATGGTAAAGATATGATTTCTATAGCAGATAATGTAGAGGAAGATATATCAAAACAAAGTTATTAGAAAATATAATTTTACAATTATTTTGTGATTTTTAGTAGCTAAAAAGACTGTAGACACATTAATAGAAATGTAATATACACATAAGAATAAATTTAGATGCAATTTTACTTTGTAAATCATTATTTTAGCAGAGTTCAACCAAAGTCCAAAGAAGTATTTAAAACATCACATTAACCACCAGGCGTCAGCTCCTACATCTCCCACGGTTGGATCAGCTCACTCGAGCCCAGCGCCGGTATCACCCGCTGGCAGTGCCGGTGCAGGAGCCGGTGCCCGATCCCCGCTCCCACTAGTAGCACCCGACCTGTTAGCAATGCAGCTTCTAGACCAACACACACAGCTTCAAGCGCTTATGAAGCAGCGCTTGTTCCACCAACATCATATGCAAAAACAGGTACATTTTAACATAAAGATTGCAACACAATTCCTATCTTCGTGGATAAACCTTTGTTACTTGTGATGATATACTAAAAAATAAATCAATCGATCCTAAAATGATTGCGTATTTGCAATCTCTTGAGTACCTACTAGCTGGCACATGGCATAGAGAATAAAATTTTAAAATTCATTCTTGAAGACTTACCAGCTATAATACAATTTTAGCACATGACTTCGGAAGCAGCGAAACGGCAACTGGAACAGTCTCGTCTGCAAGACCAGATCAATTTGAATCTGCTCTCACAGTCCCATCTCCCGCCTCCTGATTCTTCGCCAGGTAAGTAATCAAAATAATTATCTTAAGGAATTTACCTATTTCAATTTTCTAACCAAATCCTTAACCAGGTTCATGCTTAAGAAATATTTCATGGTTCTTAGTTCCCGTTTTTTATTATCTCTTAAGAAGAATAATATCATCAATTTGATAACTCTACTTGTACTCCACATAACTAAAAATTCAGCGACGAACGCAATGTCCAATACAGCGATAGCACAGCATTAAAAGTCCGATCAAATGAAACCTGTTTTAAATTATACCTCTTGCAAACGACGCTTTTTTTACAAAATGCCTAAGCATATTAGCTACTTATTTAATCGATATTTTGTGGTGGTAGAGAAATTATTCTTTTTTCTTAACCGGTTACTCTTTTTCTAGGCTCCTTGCAACAACAACTCGGCGCTCAACAGCAGCAGTTGGTTCAACAACTTCAAGCAGTCCAACGACAGTACCTTATGCACGGTCCTCTGTCAGTTCCACCTAATGCACCGCCTAGTACGTTCGATTGAATTTTAATCTAATAGAATTGACAATATTGCTGACGATGGTATCAATATTTAGCTTTATAAATCGAAAGTACAATGGCAAAATGTAAATAATTGTAACATAAGCAGAATTAAGGCCTTGGTATGACGAAATGACTGCGATACACCTGATGGATAGTGCTAAAAGCCTGTGCGATTTTTAAATAAAATTAAATTTGACTTTTAATTTTACTTAAGGTCTGATGCTATGGGGTGGTGAGGTCGAAGAACATCCTCTATTTGGTCGAGGCGTTTGCAAGTGGCCTGGCTGTGATGCACTAGCTGAGGATTACCAAGCTTTTCTCAAGTAAGATTTGGTTCAAACTCTTCATCTTACTTGAGTATTAATGTTTTTCATTGCTGCATAATGCCTAATGTAATGATTGAAGAATTTCCCTAAACACACAATGAGAAGGAATATATAAAAATAATAATAAATACTAAGACAACTTAACAACGTATGTGACATTACTCATATCCCAAGTTTGAAACCTTTGAACCCTTGAAACAGCGCAACTCACTCGGCTACGAGTAATAATATGTGATGGGGTATCATGGTAGGCACCTGGAAGCGGCCCATACGTTAGACGACCGGTCTGCGGCGCAAGCGCGCGTGCAGATGCAGGTGGTGGCACAGCTGGAGCTGCAGTTAAGGCGCGAGCGCGACCGCCTCGCCGCCATGATGCGCCACCTGCACCAGGCACGCGACAACCACCACGCGCCCAAGCATGCGCATGGTCAGTATCGCTAAACTTACTACAATTTTTTTTGAAGCGTTGCTATGACATATTGAACTACTACCTGGTGGACGAATTGACGTGTTTAGAATTCTTGATGTACTGGAGTTTTTAGTTTTTTATCTGGACTCAGTCGTGACCTCAGTCTAGCTCAAGGACATAAATGAGATCTAGGTTGGACGATCTTGCCCAGAAGAAATCTATTCACTTTTTCTTTAAATAAGGTCTAGCTTATATGCAATCGGGTATATAGACGCCGACAGGGAGTTCCACTCCTTGGCGGTGCGCAGCTAAATATGTTCAGGTAAATATCAACTGCCTAAAAGACAAAATTCGAAAGAAGCGTATAATTATATGGGAATAACAGATTTTTAGAGGTGAAAGGCACTCTATGTCACTATTTAGCCTATCAACTATCTCAAAAAAATAAATTATATTATATTACTCTCTAATGTGACGAAAAAGAAGCAGAAACAAACAAAAACACTTTTCGTGGGAATGAAATGTCTTATCGTGGCATCATACCATAACGGCGCTCCATTGCAATGTGAAAAGTGAAATATGTATTAATCGAGTTTAAGCTTCAAGAACGACTTTCGAATTCTTATTGCCTTTATATTTTGATTTTATTGTCAGTATTAAAATAGTAATCAATGTTATTATTAACATTTCAAATTTTTTTTTAAGGCGGAGCAAGTGAGGGTGCTTCTCCGGGCCCAGTTCGTCGTCGAGTCTCCGACAAGTCAGGCGTGGCTATTGCAGGTGGTAAGTACAACTTCTAGATTCATTTGCCGTCTGAAAAAATCTGAAACAAGTATTTCATTTTGTTTGCGCTTTCTTGGCGCAATGGAATTTATTCCGTAAAATAAACTCAGTGTCTTGAAATATGTAATTATTGGCTCACAATCTTGAGGTTGATTTCGTTGTTTAACTAAAGAAGGTTGAGACGAAGGCGTTAGGCATTACCGTGTTTTAGTTATACTATGTTACATACTGCCGCGCCATGGGCAAATGAGATATTACAATTGGGAAACAGTATGATAAAATTGTCATATGAAACTCTCAAACTTACAAGAATGCTTTCTTATTGACATTCCATATACTGCTTAGAGTTTGTAACTTTAATTAATGAAAAAAATATTTACATTTTCAACAAGGTCTGCCTTATATGCTCGAAAGAGCTGGATTAGATGTTCAACAAGGTAATAGATTTATATCAAGAGTCTTAATTCTGTCAATCAAAATGTTTTACTAATAATTATTATCTCAGATTGTTTGCATATTATATTTACAGAGATTCAACGCAATCGCGAATTCTACAAATCAGCAGATGTGCGACCACCATTTACATATGCATCACTAATTCGACAGGTTTGTTTAATTATGTTTTATCTAAGGCTTTTATTAATTAAATCATCCTTGATATTTTTTTCTAACAATAATCTTTGATAATTATGACTATTATTTATAAATACATTTTACATTTAAGTATGAGATCCAAAGATCATTCGTTAACTATACTGCCGTCCCAATCGTAAACTGTTGTATAAGCAAAAACAAGAATCCGAGAAAAACGCGCACACACAAAACAAAATTTAACAAAACACAAAACAAAACTTAAAATTCACAGTTTAAGTTTTGTGTATCTTTAACAAATCACTCTTTATTATCATTTTTTTTTATATACAACATGTTAGAAAAGTTAGAATACTAAACAAAGTTAGAAATTGAAAACATGACAAATAAATTAATTATCTTCAGTCATTATAATTATTTAACCCTTGTTACTGCTTCTAGTTTTTTGCTAAAGTGTTTGTTAAACTAATTAAATGGAGTAAGTAGATCAAAATTATAACTGCATATTATAACATACTTTCAGATAAATTTACAAGTTTGGCGCCTTGATTATTGGTTATTGGGCCTTGAAATAAAATACTATTAGTGGTCGTAGAAAAAAATTAATAAGTTAGGCTTGTAGAGTTTGAATTGGGCTTGCAGACGATATAAAAAACTCAAAAATGCAAATTTTGCTTTTACTGCAGTTTAGGCTTGGGTGGGCAGTGTATTAATTTTACATTTGTTCATCCGGAATCAGTAAATTATACTCAGTAAAATCAATTAAACTAAGCTTCTTTATAATTTTCAGGCTATTATAGAATCTCCTGACAAGCAACTCACTCTGAACGAAATTTACAACTGGTTCCAGACAACATTTTGTTACTTTAGGCGTAACGCAGCAACTTGGAAGGTAAGTTAATGTTAAAACTGCACATTGATTAAAAAATACATCCAATAATTAAAAATATATGAACTAATAACTATCTAACAGCATCTTTGCATCACTTTCGAAAGTATTATAAGATTATCCTCATGATAATAGATCAAATTTTAGATATTGTTGATAATCTTACACGTGCTAGCTTATACTCGCAACAGTTGTTACAATAACTTGTTTAAATATTTAATTTTTGTATTTAACAAAGAGCTCTTCATAAACAAAAGAATCATACAAATATACAAAGAAAAAATTGTTTAGTACTGACATACAAATTTACATATGTTTTTATTCAATGCATAATTTATTATCTTGACACGATGAATGAAGGTAAATGATAACTTTACTTGTTTAGATTAGTTCTAAGCATTTATTAATATTCGAATCTACTATGCTTTTATGTTTAAACATTTCTCCAAGTAATTGAACGAAATGTAAGTAAGAAGAATTTCATGAAGCATAGTGGATTGTAGCTCTATCAAAAAATTAAACTAAATATTGAGATATCTAAGAAATTATTTTGTACAATTGTTTTATGACAATTCACTATATTAGTCCAAATTTCACTGTTTCTAATTTATTATATATTATATTTTTTCTATTTTATTATATATAAAAATAGTGAATCGTGATACAATATGTACTAGTTCTAGTATTTCGGAAGGGTTTTTAAGTGAAATAAAATATACTGTTTTCATGTAGACCGAACTTATTATATAAATAAGCGATACGACACTTGAAGTAGCTCACCTTAGGCACCAAATCTTTAGAGTTACATCAAGTATGGTACAGCTTTAAAGAACCCGGTCGAAATGTTCAACAAAGATCCAGTCAATATAGTATTAGCTTCGGTAGGAAATTACAAAAAAGACAGTCGCGAACGAATAAAGACTAGGTCAGTACGAAAACAGAACGCGGTGCGTCACAACCTGTCGCTGCACAAATGCTTCATGCGTGTGGAGAACGTGAAAGGCGCAGTGTGGACCGTCGACGAGGTCGAGTTCTACAAGCGACGGCCTCAACGCGCCGCCCACGCGCCGCCCCTCCACGCGCCCGGGTACCCGCCCCGTCATCACTATACTACACTACATCTACATTTTATACATCTCATTATACTACACTAAATCTACACTCTATACATCTCACTGTACTACACTAAATCTACACTCTATGCATATCACTATACTACACTAAATCTAATCTCTATACATCTCACTATACTACATTAAATCTACACCCTATGGATCTTACTATACTAAACTAAATCTACACTCTATACATCTCACCATACTAAACTAAATTTACACTCTACACATCTCAACATACTAAACTAAATCTACACTCTATACATCTCACTATACTAAACTACAAACGTACTCTATATATCTCACTAAAAGCGCCACACCTGTACTCACATACAACTATACTACCGCCATATTCACATCTGAATATAACAATTACAACATACGACACTAAAACATCCGATATGACCCTTAACACAATCAATTGACACATTGAAAATGATATTTAAACTGCTCCCAGAACATTGCTTACGCCAACTATAAACACTAACACATCTAATACGTCTCTGAATACAATCTAACATGATTCACAAACTCAAGTACAATACATCAATTAAGACTTTACACCCAGCATGACTTTTAAACTCCTCCCAGAATATATCAAACACCAATTATATTAAATACAACTACGACATACTCTACAAAAGATCAGTCTTACTGTTGATAAACTAATTTCTTTAACTGCGACATATTGAAACACTAACTACATCTAACTGTTGCGAATCAACATAAGACACAACAAATATATATACACTAACATTATGAACATACTTTTATGACACATAAATTGCTACATAAAACTATTTACTACTGATTACGTATGCCTTTAACTGCAACACATCTAACAAGACACAGAGTATTGAAAACACATATTTAACATTAATAGCATTTAACTGAAACACAATGTCAATTTTATAACTGTAACACATATGGACATTAATACCACTAACAAACATATTAAAACAGCTAGTTACAACCACAACACATGTGGGCACAGCCAATAAAATTATTATCCTTTTCGACATTACAACAACTAACATTAACCACAACTTTCTACCAAAAGATACATAACAAAATTAACAGAATATATTGAATAAATGCTCAAATATAATATCTACAATGTATCTTTAAAAACCACTTTATATCTCAACATTGATAATATCATGACATGATAGTAACTACTAAAAACCACATCTATAACCAATATACACATGAATAATAGATTAAGATATATCATACATCTTAACATTAATAATATCTAACCTGATACTCAAACTGCTAAAAATTAACATCTAAAACTACAACACATCTAGACATTAAACATTTAACGTGTTATATAAACTACTAATTAATTTGAAAGCTATATATAAAATTGGTATAGACACAACTACATTAAGATCTAATGAAAAATACACGAATTACGTAGAATCTAAATAAAAAGAAATACTTAAATCTCACCAAAATCTACTTTTACAATCCATTAGAAAACAATTGTATATTACATTTTTTTTCCCATATCATCAATTACAATAACTCACTTGCAACATGATGTTATAAGAATACAACACACAAAACTCGTCTAAATTAGAAACGTTGTTTAAAATAATAAATTGTTTTAAATAATAAAGTACATAATACCAAATAAAGTTATTTTCTAAATACAAAGAAATGAATATTTTTGATAAATTTAAAATATTTAAAGGCAAAAAGAGCATCAGAATCAGCACATCATACCATACAATAATAACATTCTAACACACTTATACACTACACAGACTTCTAAATTCAATATTTTAATCTTCTCTTAAATATTTTCTATCTAACCTAGCGGTGTATCTAACTCTTAATGTGTAAATAAACGTTTTATCTCGTTTCAGATTTCAATTTGTAATTATTTGTGTAGTGGGTTTTGAATTGACAATTGTAAGTGACGTCACAACTGATTCAGTAATTATAATAGACAGTTGTATCGCCACGTAATGTGAAGTCCTGTATTTTTCGTATTTAGGTCTCGTTTTATGTGTGTGTACGTGAATTTCAGCGCAACGGTGAATAACGTTTTACTCGCTTGCCTATTAACCTTATTCCCGTCATCGGTCCTTACCTCAGGTCTGTCTTCTTGGGCCATCGATACCTGCATGTCGAATCATAACGATGTCCACGACGATCTGATTGTGCTTTCATCCTTTTCATATACATCAACGATCTATATTAAATACTAAAAAGTAGATGGAAGCACAAATCTCGTTTTTCGATAAACTAATCGCAGAACAAATGTCAATATAGATTTTAAATGGAGATGAATTATAGAATGCGATCCGGACGAACCTGTCTCTTCACAAATGTTTCGTGCGGTATGAGGACGACTTCGGCTCCTTCTGGATGGTGGACGACGCTGAGTTCGTGAAGAGACGTCACCTGAGCCGCGGCCGCCCGCGCAAGTATGAGCCGGCACCCAACGCTCCCGCACAGTAAGGGCGCAGCCGCATCTCAAGCTGCGACCGTCCAACGAATCTGTTCACGCGTTCTATATAGATACTGACAATACTAATGATACAGAATATCGGAGGGACGCTGTTAGTATTGGCCAATTAACTCCAACTCTTAAATGCTGATCATTACATCGATGATTCTGCGTTGTTAGATATATTTAAAGTATTCCTGCTGTATCCTGAGTAAGGATAACTGGATAATATAACAGTAATAAAATTTCGAATAGAGACAATTTGAATTGAAAACGTTGAATCATAGATGTTTCTGTTTTAAAGAACGCGAAACATTTGTTGAAGTTTTTGGAAATTGTGCTATAAAAGTTTTTTGATGTCCATTGCTGAAGACCGTCTATTAGAAACGACATTTTGCCAGTTACATGACGATACAAGAAATGTATTTCATACTGGGAATCGTTGGACGATCGCGTCCATTGAACAGTATTTTTGTATTGAAACTGATCGATTTATTATCGAATATAAAAATAAATAGAGATAATTATCGATTACTCACATTAGATCGATGTTTCTGACCAATAAGTATATTGTAAAGTGTCTCACTGTGTAAGCTTAGATTAATTTCAACATGTCATGTTAGAGTGTAACTAGAATCACGTGACTGTTAAAATATATCAAGAAAATATGTTCTTAGATGACATTATTACAAGTAACGCGAATTGACAATATTTCAGATTATAAATGAAGTCATCCAAATAAACTAAGTACATATTTTCAGAATTAAAGAAAACTAGTTTAGACTCTTAGAGTGCAAAGCTATAACCAATTGTTTTGCTATAGTTTTAACATCACAATATAATACGATTTGTTTAATAAATTAGCTTAATCCATACATATGTTGCTAATGTAACTTTCAATATTTTTAATTTATATTTGACGATATCCGTAAGCTATATCGAATAACTGCGACCATGTTTACCGATTTATGAATGCATGTGTTTATAAATGATTGTAAAGAAGGATCGTCGTTGGATACCCAAGTAAGACAAAGAGATCTCTTAAGTGTTTATTTTTTAACTGTTTATTTACTCCCATTTTACATTGGCATGTTTAATTCATGTATATTAATAGCAAAGGTAAGTCTTCGCTTGTCGCTTTGCATGTAGCATTTTCGTAGCATGGTAGAATTGAAGATTTTTCTAACATTTTTCAATAAGCTTGCCTTTTTATTCTATTTTATTCTATTTATCTTTCTCTCACTCACTTACATAACATTTCTATACACAACTCACCATTACAGACGAATTGGACTTTCATTCAAAATTTTACACTTCACATAATACACAATCAACATTTACCATAAGTATTAAATAATTTACACCACTAAGAAATGTCTGGTATGACCAGATTATGATTATTTATTATGTTGTTTCATATATTTCTGAATAAGATAAATGATTCATATATCATTTGAGTTAATTTAAATTCATTCCAATATAAATTCTGAGGATGATTGAACCTCCTTCAAAAATAAAAAAGTAAACTATTTGCTTTAATTTAAATTTTTGTTAATTAAACATTCGACTTGTTTGTACAATTTTATATTATTTTAATAGATTTATGGGTGCCCAGAGTCCACCAATGATGACCAGTCCTCATGGATATAGTGAAGCTCTCAAGAGAAATCTTCAGGTACAAATGTTGCCTCTATATTTTTCTTCCGATCATATAAAAAAATCGAATCATCTAAATTTCAAAACAAATTACAGGGTATGATGGAAGACTGCAATCTGTCGTACATGTCAAATGATGATCATATGATGCAAACTGAAGATTATCCTTCTTCTCACGATGATTACAGGTATGTTTAGAATAATACCAAGAGGAAAGTAAGTCTATTATATCATAGACCTGTTTTTAAATGCTATTTAAATTTTAAAAGCTAAGTTTTGTATTATAAACCCAATATATAAATGCTAAAATACTATATTAAACAAGTCACAACATGGAAAAAATTTACTGTGTGGAATTTTTTTTCATGTGTCTTATAAACGAAAGGCATATGAAAAAATCCACTTTGCTATCTCATCTCATAAGAGCGTCAGGGACAAAGTGGATTTATAAAGCATTTTTTATCCAGTTCAATTAATCATTCATTATGATAAATGTGTTATATTATTCACAGCAGAGCCCCAATAATGAATGGATATGGCAACAGCAGTACGTCTCACGAAGTAAAAGCAGAAGATCTGAGCGCTAACGAAGCTCAGGATATCAAGCCAAACATATACGCACTCAAGAATGAAATGCAAGCTTCCGATTATTCCAATAAAGGTAAGTCATCAAAGCTTCATACCTAAATGGATAATTTTTTCTCACCTTAATTAATATATATGTATATGTATATACTCTGTTCGTTACCAAATAATATAATACGGATTCAGAATATAAAGTGTTACTGATTTATATAAAATCTGTAATTAGAAATCTATAAAAATGATTTTAATAGATTGGAGTTTTTCCAAATAAAATATACTCGGAGGAAACTTGAATCCCGCCAGCGCAATGGATTTTTATATTCTCCCTTTAATTCAGGTATGAAAGCAAAGCACTCACGTGTCTTCAACCTTTACCAAAAGTTGACAGATCTATTTTTTTATCTACACTGGTAAGATTGTTATTTTATTTTGAAACATGTAATTAGACTTTATCTTTTGGTTGCAGGTGATTACTCGAACTCCAATAAAGAGTCTTCTAGCAACAGATCCGGAGAGACCAGTCCTTACGACGACTACCCTCGCTCCGAAGACCGTTACCGACCCACGATATCTCACATCAAGGATGAAGCGGAAAACTTATCACTGAATGAGCAAAGATCTGAAAAATAAACAAATGTTATCTTCAAAGGATGCAATTGCAAAAAGTGAATCAATACGCGTTTCAAACACAAATTGAAATTGCAAAAAGTGAATAAAAACGCGTTTTATACACGCGTTTTATACAAAAAGTGAATCCGCGTTCCAAACACAAAAGTGAATTGGTTCATGGTGGTCTAAGTGAATGACGTTCCAAAACGAAGTGATTAAATTGTTCTGCTATAAACTTATCGACGATTTAGTTGCTCTAGTGTTTAGCAATGTTATTACAGTATGTAATACAATTAACATTTACGGGTGTAGATCTATTTCCGGTTATTTAGAGCGGTGTTAGTTTGTATACGTGTTCATTGTTGGGAGTGTTTTATAAATGGAATTGTGGACGATCTCGAAAAAATAAGGAATTGTAAGTTTAGCATAAGCAGTTTTTTTTATTTTGTTTTTAAGCTGAACCCGGTTTAACGGGATACGGAAGTATTATATAGGTTTTATTTTCGTCTGATTTATAATTTTGATAAGTTAGCCTACAGTGTTTTCATATTATATAGTTATATATAGATATAGTGCGTTAATTGTTAGGATTTTTTCTAGATAAAACGAATTTTGCCATCCGACCGGCTATCAACGATGTTTCACCTTAAAAGGTCCATATCAATATTTAAAAATATTTAATCTTCGAAAAGTGTATAATAAAAAAATTAGAACAATAAGTAGTCTTTTTTTCAGTACTTCATGTTGTGAAGTTATAGTGGAATTTGCGCTTAGCGTCATTTTAATTTCCACTCTGTTGGCATAATTTTAAAGTTTCGATTACTACTTATTTTGCATTAGATCTCAAGACCAGATTATTATTATTTTTATTTTAAATAAAAGTACTAATCTATTTAATAAAAGAATTCATTTACTGTCGCCAATTTGTGATTCTGTTTTCAAGTTACTTTAATTATGATCTGATGAATATATTTTTTAATATTTTTTTATAAAATAAAATACAATTTATTTTTTTTGTCCTTACACAGTGCCATTTACGCTAAATGGCAGCATTTTTTTATAATTAATTATTCCATGGAATTGCTTTTTTTTATTTTTAGTGGTAAGATAAGGATTTTGTATATATTTATCACGAATTGTAAATTCCTTAAAAAGAAAATTTGGTAAATTTAGACGTATCTAAACGTTCTTATTAAAATATAACTATTGCATATTAAATCGTTCACGTTGTAGAGAATTTAGAAAACTTAGTAGTAAAAATGAAATATTTACTGTGATCAACAAGCATAACCAATTGACCGTTATTTGATAAATAATAATAAAAAACAACATCAAATGGCAAAGTTATGCTTGCTGTGATGACGTCTGTACTTTATATCTGTCAAAAGGTTTCATTTGTCTACAAATAAAACATGCATTTTTCGATCATAAGTGTAATTGTTAAACTAGCAATCGATTAGGTTGAATAAATACTGATAAATTTAAATAAATTAATAATTATAAAAAGGGTAAACCTTATCATATCACAAGTATGTATGAATACCTTATAATACTAGAAATTATGATTGGTAATAATAAATGTATACCTGACACTCGGTAACAATATTATGTAAAAAATATGAATCTAGAAAACATAAATCTTCGTTCTTATTTCTTATCGATTTTTTGCATTGTTATAATATGAGTATTTACATTAAATTACAACATGATGTTATAAATAACATCATTAAAATACCTTGATTTTGTTAACAGATTTCATTTTTATAGGTCAGAACATGAGCATCATGAGCTCGAATTTAAAGAAGCGAAAGTCCCAAAATATATGGAGTCTGAGCCAGATCTATTTAAATCAAATTATAAACAGTTTTTAATTATCTAAAATCTCTGAAATCGTTAAATAGCAAAGAATTAGAACACAACGAAATATATTCATCCTGACGGGAAATGGGATTTATTAGTAAGTTTTGGAAACTCGTAATAATTAATCGATTTAAAAGACAATCCAAAAGTATTAACAATGGTAGTTTGTTATATTTAACAAACAACATAATTTTTAACCGTTATCAAGTTCAAGAAATTCAAAAAAATGTTGTTTTTTTTTCTATTTTAACATGGAGTTAAATTTGAACAGGAAAAGAGGTGTATTAGCAAGGAATTTCAAAGGTGGGCCTTAATTGCGGCAGACACTTTAGATACATATTTAGTCAATTCTTTGTTTGCGAATATAAGTTTGAACTCGTTTTTTATACCTGTCCCATTTTAACAACATCTGTTGCTTTTTAGTCAGTAGAAAATAACGGTGGGACAATCGTTCGTTCAAATAAATATGTGCATACGGGAAAGAGAGCAATATGGAAGGCCTAACTTTGAATAATGGCAGAAAGAAATATACTCGACTTAAGCCTTTTATTATGAAAACAAATTTCTAATTAATCAACCAGAATCTAGTCAAAAATTAAAACTTGTATATAAATAGACTCTGAGGAATTCCATTTTGCCCTCATATAAAAAAGCAAAATTAAAAATTAAAGGGCAATGCGAAAACTATACCAAAAGTTTAAGTTTTGCAATTAATACATAAGAAACAACTATTTTATAAATAAACCAACTTTGAAACGATTTTTCTTCTCATACTAAGTTTTAATAATAATAATTTCGATTGTCCCACATAAACTGAAATTTACAAAACTTCGCAACACTTCAACATATAAAATAATTATAATATTTATTTAAAGTTAATAAAGAAAAATCATATTCTAGCTTATCATTTTATATATTCAAAATACGACAGATCGCAACCTGTTCTGACACTGAACATTATTTAATTCTTTAACTTTCACTGTTAGTTCATCGTCAATATTTTCATTTTTCAACTCCTTTGACTTTGCCCTCAACTTCAAATTTCTAACTTGCCCGTACGCTGGCAATAAATATTTGCATTCGTTATTGTATCAATCCATAGACTCGATTTTGTAGTAGACATTTACTCACAAAACAAAATAGTTTGAACTTTGAAATCCAATATTTTGTAATATTTAACTACCAAATAATCACACAGCTAGTATAATCATGATACTGGCTGGTGAAAATCATACTAAATTTGGTTTGTAAATCTAACTCACTGTTTCTCTATAAGTGTATGTCAGCACTCACGGTAGATTGCATATTTAGTCAATTATAACAATTTTCTATTTTGCCCACTCTTTCTATCTTGCCCTCCCTTCCTAATTTGTACACCCATCTATGCCGGCGCACTTTCGCTAGCTCATCGCTCGTAGTTCGGTCTATATATACCTTTAAAACATGATTCACATCTACTGGCACATAACGTCGCAGACACGACATAGCCATACGTCTGTACTCATAAACTTTACCAACTAAAGAAAAATAAGTGTGGATTTGTATAAAAAAATAGAAAGAGTCTGATCGTTTTTTTATAAATGATGTTGCATTTCTTCTATCGAGACATGAGCATGCATAAACAAAAATAATACTAGTCGAAGCCAGTTCTTGTTTGAGCGGACACGCTTCACTAGGTCGCATTTTCTTTTGAATCGTCAAAAAAATTTTCCCTGCGACGTTTAGGACGTCTTTTGTCTGATAAGAAGAATTAGCAAGAAACTCACCGGCTCTAACAGTAGTTATGACATTTACAAGAATCAATATTAATTAATTATAGGTATTTCAGGAAAAACTGACTTTAGTCACTTTCCATTAAAATATTATATAGATATGAATCGTGGTTTAGAGTTCAAATATGCTTATAAATATACCATAGACAAAATTGTTTCGTTCATAATTAAGTACAATGTAAAAAAAAAAACAAAATCATCAGTTAGCAAATAAAAATATTTAAGAATAATTTGTTTTCGATGGAATTGATAGGAATTTATTATTATTGATTTTAGAATCGAACGGCAAATATTTTGCAATTAATTAATCTATCTCATTTACACAAAACCGTTTTATAACCGTTAGATTTTAACTAAACAATGACACATGAAACTGAATAGATTGAAACATGTTTATTTATTGTAAACATTATTCCAGTGTCAACTCAAAGTAATATTGTATTTTAAACTTCACTTTTTATTACACAATAAATTATATAAAAATCTGCATATTACAATACTTCAAACTTTGCTACGGAAATGTATTAATGAATAAATTGTTGTTTAAATATGGAACATACGTTTGTTTTATATTTGATTGTCTGGTGAAACTACATGAGGCATGAATACATTTATTGATCATTGTAAATTATACTTAATTAGTGTTGTATTAAACCAAATCATTACAATTAATTATTTGTTTTATTTCAGTCGAATATTTTTTTTAATATTGAAATAAAAATAGTTAAAATGATGAATGCTAAAAAATCCACTTTGTCCTTGGCACTCCCATCTGAGAGCGCCAGGGACAAAGTGGATTTTTATGTTTGAGACAAATGACCTTTCGCAGTAGGTCATGCGTAACGTCATGGGCTGCATCAGGCTCGGACCACAATCTGGTCAAATGAAAGATGTCCAGTTTGTAGGTCTGAGGAACGGCGGACCACCCCCTTTCTCCCCTCCCCCTCCCTTCAGTCTGCCACTGGGTTCAAGTCCCATGCACAACCGCCCATCATAAAAGATGGGCGGTTGTTTCTTTCAATTCGTAGAAATCGTTAAACTTAGACCATATTTTATGAAAGAAATGTTAAAACTATATTTAAAAGAAAAAAAACAACAAAAATATTGGAAAAAAGTCTTATTAAAGAATGCTTACCAAAAATCGATTTTTTGAAAATCCTTAATGATAATTGTAAACCTTTGGTTCTGAAAATAATGGGGCAATATAAAGATAAAATAAAAATTTATAGTGGGTGTTGTCACCTCTGTCCCTTAGACTTCTTGGAACCGGTTTGTCAATCCATCCATTATATCCGATTGGGAGATATTGTGCCACTTCTCTACTGCAGACGTTTTTAGCTCTCCTATAGTCGTAGGGACTGGTACTCTTGCTCGGACACGTCTTTTAAGGTTATCCCAAATGTGCTCTAAAGGGTTAAATTAAAACTTGAATCCCGACCTCATTAAGGTACTCACTGACGGATCTTGCGGTATGGCAACGTAACACACGTCATTTATTAATCTAAAGTTGTCACCAATAAACGGAGAGAAGGATATGACATGATCTTAAAGAACTTCTTCCACGTATCTTTGAGCGTTTACACTTCCTCTATCGAACACAACAAGATTGGACGAGCCTCATAAGAGATACCTCCCCTCCCCATACCATTATGGACCCTCCCTGGTAACTCACTGTCTCAGTTATAGCGTATGTAGCAAACCTCTCATTTTGATGCCTGTAGACATGCTGATGTCCATCTAGACCTCTTAAGGCTATTCTCCTCTCATCTGAGAACAGTACGTTCTTCCATTCCTCTAAAGTCCAGTCAGCATATTCTCGCGCAAAACTACGACTAGCTCTACGGTGTTGTGGGAGCAGTTGCGGAGCGCGAGCTGAACGAAAAGCCCTGAAATACTTTCTGCTAGTCTTTATCTAATGGTACGTTCAGTGACACTGACATTTCTCACCTCAAAAAGACGTGTACGAGCTTCAGCAGCGGTCGAAAAGCGATTTCTGAACACTAGAGCTGTAAAAGTAACGAATAAAACTGTACCCGTATGTATTCGTTACTCTAAAGATCATTACTCGTTACTTTCGTATCGTTACGTTACTCGTTACTTCCAATACCTCATATTTATGTCAGAGCTACGAATCGAATCGTACAGTATAATAGCGCAACATTCGTTATTTGTACTAACGTTACTTAAATAAGTACTGAAAAATGTTATAATTCAAAAGCACCAAACGGGAGTAGAAAATCATTTATTTATAATAAAATTAGACATTTTAGGGCAGGAATCTATAGTATAGTATAATCTTAAAAGATAGATAGAAAGATAGAAACCCTTAAAAGATAAGAATTAAAAAAGAAAATACGCGATTATAATAAATCAAAACATATACCTATTTCTATTCTGTTATTAATACTTTCTTACCTTGTTTCTGTACCAAAATCAAACTTTTATACACACAATACTTTTACTCAACAGTAAAATACTTGGACGAGTAATTTCCAAATTATTTTATATAACAAACGTCGTTTTTGTAACGTACATTTTAAACTCATCGAATAAGCGCGCGCAATGGGCGCATGCGTAACATCGGTAGGCAGGTACCATCAACAGTACATCAACAAACAGTACTGGTACGTGGTACATACGATAAATGCGAGTAACGAAATGCATTCGTGAGTAACGTTTCGTTACTCGGTACTAGACGGCGCACCCGTTACTCAGTACCGAATACATACGATTTGCGACAGCTCTACTGAACACATTGGTGACAACGAAATGGTCGTCTCGAGTCGAAGTGCATCGATGTCGGCCTTGACCTGGCCTGCAGGTATATAAGCCTGTCTCCCAAAACCTTCTGAGGACATCTTGTACCGTAGTTCGAGGTACACAGAGTCTGTGAGTGATGCGACACTGACTATACCCCTCATCAGCTAAAGTCACTGCCTTAGCCACATCAGTTGCATCAAGTGACATTTTTTTGCAATCATAAACAATGAGCAAATATTATAATTTCAAATTAAACAATATTCGCCCAATATACAGCAACAATGTAAAACAACGACTAAATTCAAAAAAACCTTCTGTGACACAAATTTAGGAAAGAAAATAATGGTATGAGTGTTTTATTTATTCCAAATTACATCCTTATTCCAAATTACATCAAATGGAAAAACTGAGACCTAACTTTAGTTCCAAGTTTAAACAATTAAGTCAAAGTAAGTCAATGCGCCTCTTCTTCTCCTTTTACTAAAGGCTTATCTGCGCATTTCGCACAATTCTGCCAATGTCAAGTGACTAAATAAATGAAAATGAAATGAATGTTAAAACCTACGTAAATTCGGACACCTGAGTGAATTCTAATTCGGGTTTGAATTTTTACAGAATCGCAGGGTTGCTAAACGGTCCGAATCATGGACGATTTCGGGATGATACATTTTTGGTCAACCATTTTACGATCAGCTTTCGTAAAAGATCCTCTAGTTCATCAATTCTACATTTAATTCACAGAAAAACACTGGTGAGACGGCACAGCAAACGGTGGAGTTTATATGGTCCACGCGGGCGAAGCCGCTGGCGAAAAGCTTATACAACTTTTATAATGTTTGTATGTTTTATATTATTTACTAATGCATAATCTTTATATATTTTCATTAAAAAATCCATTTTATTTTTAAACCCGAATCGTACTTCGGAGCGTTCACCACACGTGCTTAGTTTGTCATCGGAAATATTTTAGATGTCTAAATAAAATAAAAACGTAATCTACGATTGTCATTGTGCATATGTGACGAAAATAAACTGCTCCGTCACTCGGCGGATATGATTCGTCAGATAAAATAAATAATTATAGGTACTGAAGTTTGCATGCTTCTTTTTTACTTACGAATGTTACGGTTAACATGTGCTTACAGATACTCGTGTAGTCTGCGAAACTAAAACACTAATATACGACACTAGTAAACAAGTATTTGTTTATTTGTAACGGGTAATGGTCGGAAATACTCATCCGATTATGAAAGTTCTATCTACAGAAAACTACATCATAAACATTTTAATATAGGCTATAATTTACGATATATCGATAAAAAAAAACGTAATAAAATATGTCTTTTATTTTTTATGTGTCTTTGAATCAGATCTTAGAGGTAGTAGGTTTATATGAGTTGATTATGAATGTCACAACATTTTTGTTCCGAATCACTCTTAAGAATAGGCTCCAATGGTGTTTGAAATTCAGTAAAATTTTATATGGAAGTCCGCTTCTTGCCAGAGACTTGAAAATTTAACGTTGTGTGGGTGTGTACGACGAATCAGTGGAAAAGCAGCTAAAAGTTAGTCAATACTAAGAATGTCGAAATTTGTACTTTGTCAGCATCCTGATTACGTGTGGCATTACTTGGAATCATTTGCATGGATGCAGCATATGTGATGTTAATTCATAATGATATTCAATTAAACAAATAAGTTTTATCTACGTTTGTTTTTCCTCAGATACCATTTAGTTTTTATCTTTTATAACTTTTAAAAGAAGTACTAAATTTCATTTCCAAAAACCATATTTTTGTACCTTTATTTTATTTAAATTATCACATTCCGACTATTACATAAAAACTTGATTTCACTTATAATATCAATTTCTATTCGTTTTAAATACGAAAACTGCGAAAGTGAGTATTTTAGCTCCTCATTATAAAGAGATCTTCAAAATAAAAAAACTTTTTTAACTATATTTTTTAATTACAAATAGTTTTGTAAATAAACATCAAAAGGATTCTAATTGAACAAATGTGTAAACGCAACTGTTTACTACAGCAGGGGCTGCAATATCATCGATATCGTACGCGCTAGCTTGATTTATGGGTTGGAGCAAGTGCACTAGTGGTGTCGCCAAATTTCGACGAAAATGTAACGATAATGATATTTACTCTGTAAACAGATACAAAATAAATACAAACTTATATCAAATAATGAAAACTTACTTATTAAATTACTTTATCACCAAAATTTTGTTTTCACTTTCATATTTTAACACGAAGACAACAAAGAATATTTCCAAAATACGTTTAGTATTGTGAAAATGAATTCTTAATACATTTAAAAAATATTTTGGACTACAAAACTGTTTACTTCGTCATAAATATGAGTCATAATTGATTTTAGACCATAAAAGTTTGATTTTAAATTTCTTGTTTGTAATAGATAAAATTAAAATTACAGGACCGATTTTAAATATTCCTTCCAAAGTATAAGCTATATTCTATGGAAAAGTATAGCGTAAGGATTGAACATTTGTAACGGTGTGATTGTATCAGCATTGTTCTCTTTGCTTGCGTTTTGCTTCTCGATGTTAATAATTTTTGCTAATTAAAACTTTTTATGTAAGATTTTATAACTGTCATTTATGATTTTACTTATTTGTAATTTTATGTTATTGTTAAGTAAGTAATTTTTTAAAATATATAAACACAGTTTAAGGTTAATCAATGATATCCAATAAAAAAGTTCAATCCAGTAGAGTTGGTTTTGAAATCATAACCCTATCTTCGGCTGAGTAGCGTAGTAATATTCAATTATGACGATAACTAACATCGATACAATGATATATCCCCTAGATTAGGTGATCGTCACATCACTATCAACGACATGTGGCTCTTAATTATACGTAACAACAAAACCGATGGGCCGGCAAAAAAACGTAAAATAACTGTATTCTTAATCCCGATCTGGTTACTGAACTCTATGGTGAACAGAAAAAAAAACTTTTTCATTTACCACATGTCTACGAATGGGTTAAGAGTTTTTCGTTTTCTTAAAAAAAAAGTGTCATTTCGATTCGAAATGGAG